CCCCCCCCCCCATTGCAGGCAAGCTTGGGGCAAGCCTGGAGAAGGGCTGAACCACTGGTCTGCTCTCCTGTGTGCCAGGTTGGGGAGGGGAGGGGAGGGGAGGGAGATGGGGAAATCCACCCCACCATCTCTTCTCACACGGTTAATAAGGGGACCCCACTTGGCAGCTTCCTTCCTGCTGAAGAATAGGGATAGAGGGGAGCCAAGGCCAAGATAGATTCCTGCTGACTTGGGGACTGCTGGAGGGCATTTAACTCCAGGCCAGGAAGACCCCTGGCTCCACTGGACCCCCCTGCAGTGCTCAGAGTCTGGCGGCCACTGGTCCCCGCTGGAGGGGAGTCCCTCGGCCCCACTTTCACCTCCCCCCACGGTGGAGAGGAGACAGGCTTTTCTTCATGGACCGCTGCCCACCATGCGCCCCAGCCCTTTCAGCCACGGTGAGGAGCATCCTACTGTGGCTGCTGGACGGCCAGGGCCCGTCACGAGGCGCCTGCAGTTTTGCCACTGTCTGGCTGAGCAGGACTGGCAGGGGGCGTCCCCATCCCCTCGGTCCATCTCGGTGCTGCAAATCTGCTGCTGCAGCTCTCAAAGGAGGTTCCCCGGATGCACCTCGGCCCTCGGGCCGGCGAGAGTCCCGCGGCCTGTCTGTGCGGGAGCGGCTGCCCCGGGTTGCTGGCCCGTGGGGGGCAGGCAGGGTGCCCTGCGGGTCCCGGGGCAGGTGCTCTGGACTCCCATGCCTTTCACAGGGATAGGCAAGGCCGTCGCTCTTGACCTGGCTCGCAGGAACGCCCGCACGATCCTGGCCTGCCGCAGCCGGGAGAAAGGCCAGGCGGCAGCGGAGGAGATCCGCAGGGCCACCGGGAACCCCCAGGTGCACCTCCGCCTGCTGGACGTCAGCTCCATGGCTTCTGTCCGTGACTTTGCCGGGCAGTTCCTGGAGGAGGAGAAGCAGCTGCACATCCTGGTGAACAACGCGGGAGTCACAGGTAACGGGTGCCTCCCGGTCCGTCTGGCTCAGGAGCCGGGGAGGCAGGTGGGGCGCAGGCCCTCCTCCCCACCCCAGGGCCCTGGCGCCCAAGGCTGAGGAAGAGAGCCGCTCACGTGGCAGTTGCCCCGGCTTCCACGCAACCCCCGCCCCGAGGCAGCAGGCCAGTTGCGGGGGCTCACAAGCGTGTCCCAGAGCAACGGAGAGCAGCCCCTCCACAGGCCTTGCTCCGCCAGGGAAGTGGCTGCTCCAGAAGGCCCAACCGACCGTTCAGAAGCACAGCCTCCGCCCGGCATGAAAGCCCACGCCAGCTGAGAGCCCTCCAAGGCGGTTACCCTCTGCATCCCGTCCCGGGACTGCTCCTCTGCTGGGAGCTCAAGGAGAGGCCTTTTCTGCTGGAGGCGAGGCTGGGAAGGGGCAAGAGGGCCCAGCGGTCAAGAAAAGGACAGGTCCTTCCCACAGACAGACAGCCCCCTTTGGAGCCCGGAGCCTCCCCGTCCCCCATTAAGCTGCCGTCTGTCTCGCCTCCCCCATAGGCTTGCCATTTGCAATCACTGCTGAGGGCTTGGAGCTCACCTTTGCCACCAACGTCTCGGGTGCCTTCCTTCTCACCAACCTCCTGCTGGGTAAGTACAGGCTTCTCTTTCAGCACCAAGCCCCAAGGTTGACCCCACAATTCCCCCAGCTGCAGAAACACTGCCAGGCATTGGGGAACGGGTGGGGAGGGACCAGGCCACTCTAAAGATGAGATCTCCAAAATGATCTCCAATGATGGGTGTGCCAGTTCCTGGAGGGGACTGGGAAAATAGCACTGGTGAGGGTCATGAAAGATGAAGAGGCTGCAAAGAACTTTGAAGGGATCTGTCTGGAGAGGTGGATGTTGGAAGGCAAACATGATTCAATGAAGTGCAAAGGAATGCACATTGGAACATAGAACCCCAGTGGATCGTTTCTGAGCAGAGAACCAAGCAGGGTGGGTAAGTCAAAGAAAGGTCAATTTACTTGGAACCAGTGTGGTAAAAGGCAAATGTTGTAAGGATAATTAGGAAAGAAAATCTTAAGGTCATCTCTGCACAGCCAGGCAGTAGCATTTATCTACCTTGGCAGACCTAGAAAAAGAACCCAGCCCTGGTCAGTACTTAATGGGAGATCACAGGAAATCTCAGAGCTGCAGAATGGACTGGGGAGCTGAAAATAACAACCCCAAATAAGGTTATAGCAAATCCTTCTGTATTATCATGCTTCGCATGGGGCTGCCCTTGGAGACCACCCGGAAGTGTCAACAGAGCAACATGCACAGTGCCGGGCATCTGTAGGTTCACCCCTATTGCACTCTTGTTGCATGAGCTGCACTGCTGCTGCTCACCTTTAAAGCCCTACGTGGCAGGGGACCAGGTTGTCAGCAGCACTGCTTCTCCCTGAGGGCATCCGTCTGCCCTACCAGAGCAGATAGGGTGGGCACGCTCCAGGTCCCTCCCCTTAAACGTGGCCATCTCGGAAGCCTGCCTTTTCTGTTACAGCCCCTGCCCTATGGAACACGCTCCCCCGAGACCCGGCACCCCCCCCCCCTTCTGTCCTTCCGGGGAGCAGTTAGAACCTGGATCAGGGCGGGAGGAGAAGAGTGGCTGTGGTGCCAGGTTTTTCTATTACTGGTTTTATTGTTGCTGGTTTTTTATATTGTTTTACACCGTTTTATTGGTTGTGAGCTGCCCAGAGTTCTTTTTAAGATAGGCAGCTATATAAATGTTTTAAATAAATACATAATAAAATAAATGGAAGGTTGGAACTCAGAAGACTTGTCTGACAGCCTTCATTTAAGGCTGTAACATAGTTGGCCCTGGCAACCAGCTACAATATGGGTACTAAGAAGATGGGCTGGGGAATGAGGAGGAACCCCAGTACGAAGCAGCCGCAGGAGAGACGGATGCTGGTGGAAAGGTGAGCTGCAGGGCAGGAGGTGAGCTCCCCCCAGCTCGCGCGAGAGAGCCTCGCTTTCGAGCGGGCTTTGGCCCTCGTCCCCTGGTTCCGGAGCCTCTCCTCACCATCCCTTCACGCAGGCACCATGATCGCCTCTGCTCCAGCGCGCATTGTGAACGTGTCTTCCTTCCGGCACTACTGCGCCAGAAGAGTGAATGTCAAGTTCCTGACAGGGGAAGAACAGCCCAAGAATTGCAGCCAGGCCTATGACTCCACCAAGCTCATGAACGTTATCTTCACCACAGAGCTGGCCCGGAGGCTGCAAGGCACAGGTAAGCATCCGTCCTCCGAGCCCGACCCTCAAGGCCCTCCTTTTGTTCAGGGGCTACTTGGAGATGCCAGGAAAGTTATTTAACAGACAGGAGATAAACCCGGGTAGGATGAGAAGGCAGAATGCACAAATTGTAATGCAAACACGAAGGTATCGCCTTATACATACATGGCCACCTACGGGGTTCCCGTCACAGAAATCACAGAAGCGGAATGAGAAATGGCAAACTGGAGAAAGTAAAGGCAGGCTATAAGAAAAAGAAAAGAAATTATACCTGAATGTAGTTTATATCAACCCCATTCCCTCTGCTTCTCCATACCTTCTGTCCTTGCAAACTATCCTTCTCCCACCACAGCCAGACAGGACTTCATGCGCTGCCTCTCTAAGTTCTTCTCGCCCTTTTTCAGGATCGCATCAGCCTGTCCAGCCGCAGCTTCCTTGAGCTTTTCCTTTCCCCCAAGCTATTCGCTCTTCCTTCCTACATTTCTTTCCTTTGCGATGCTATCCTCATTCGTTTCTCTGCATGACCAGCGCCCCCCACCCACTTTGGAGTCCGTTCACAGTCATTCTGCCCGTCATTTCTGACCCCCTCTGCTCCTCGCTGGAACCCCCTTCGGCTGAGCTTTCTGCTTCTACCCAGCGCTCGCTTCCACCTAACGGAGCGGGCTGCGCTCTCATCCACAGCCACTTTCACTGTCGAAATAGGAAGATTTTCCGCTGTTTTCAGGAATCAGCTGCTCAGTTATGTTAATGCCTTGGATTCAGTCAGCTGTGTAGACCGGATCTCAGCCCCTGACAAGCTGTTCTAATTAAAGTGGCTCCCGGGCAGCCCGAGGACTGAACTGGACCTCCGGGGCGGGCCCGTCTCCGGTTTAATCTCTGGGCTCCGAGAGATGCTCTCGCCAGCCACGCCCGTGGCTCGCTGCGCCTCCCGGAGGATCCGGTTGACGGTTCTTTGCCTGTTGGGCCGTTCCTCTTCTGGGCTGGATGAGGAAGAGAGCTGGCACTCTGTGCGCATCAGCTTCGAGGGGCTCTTCCAGGTGTCCGTCTTCCTCCAGCGAGCCTTGCTGCTCGCAGACTAGCGCTTTCTCTTGAACTGTCCTCCTGGATTCACTCAGGCAGGGGTGTCTCCTCCCGCAGGGGTGTCTGCCAACGTGCTCAGCCCAGGAATTGTCAAGACGGAGATCATGCGCCACTTCAGCTGGGGGGCTCGCCTGCTCTTCAAGCTTTGCAGCATCTTCCTGAGGGTGAGGGCTCAGCCTCTCCTCCCCACTTCTGTCTCTCAAGCCGCAGCTGCAGCAGCAGCGGATGTAGCTTCAGGAACGGATCTGGCTGTTAAGAATTTGCAAGAGGAGAAAGGGGAGAAGGAGTGTGGGGTGGGGGGTAGGTTTATTAAATGACCCAGGGAAGGCATCAGACCTCCCCGCAGCCCAGACACCAGTGGCACGGCTCCCCAATGGCTGGCTGTAGAGCCTCCCTTGTTTCATATTGCTAAACGGGGGCCTGGGGGACTTCTCTAGCTCTCCAACGGCCTTTTTGCTGCTGGGCCCCTCTTTCTCTCCTCCCCCCCCGGGCAAACCTTCATGCCAGTCGAAGCCTGCTCTGAGGAGCTTTTTCTTCTGTCTCCCCAGAATGCCCGAGAGGGAGCCGTCAGCACCCTCTACTGTGCCGTTGCCAAAGAAGTGGACGGAATTTCTGGCAAGTATTTTGACAGCAATTGCACATTGACCCTGCCACAAGCCCTGGCGCGTGAGCCAAGCGTCGGCCACAGACTTTGGGATGCTCTGGAGAAGGTGACAGGCCTCGGAACGGATGTAAGGAAGGAAGGGTGCAGGCTGCGTATTGTCTCAGGCCTACCGCAAGGGGAGAACCAGGGCGCTGCTCTGGCTGTTCTGGCAAGGGAGAGCCAAACAGCTGCCTGCCAGCAGCACTGATCTCTGACTTCCCTTCCGAGACCTTTTCCCTGCAGAAATTCGGAGAGGAAGTGTGGGCCTTGTCAAGCCCATTAACCACGAACCCCGATTAGAAAAGCAAAATTCACCCGGGATTGGCGTTGGAGCACAGGACCTTGAGAACTGCGACAGGAACCCTCCAGCCCTCTATTCGAGAGCTGCTTGTGACAGGGTCTGTTGAAGGTTCTGAATCTCTTTTTCCCAGGCTGTCTGCAAGATGGATTAGGAATCTGTTTCTTGGTACATCAGCAAGAACCTCTCCCATCTAATTTCTTTGGCCTAGAGATGATGCCCCTCTCTCAGCTGCAGTACGATCTGTGACAGGCGTGTCCAGTGAGGCCTTTGCAGCATGCCAGATTTTGCTATGTCAGTCCTTGCTTAACCTACTGCCACAGTTCTACTGTATGGTTACTCTAAATAATGAAGTTTAAATGCTGAATTATGCGTATTGTTAATGAAATAGAATAGCCAAGTTTGTTTTGCACTCTAATCTGTAGTGAGGGTCTATGATCTGAATGGAGAATCTGCTTACCTGACAGCCCCCCCCCCTCCCTGAGTGCGGGTCAATAAACCTAACAAGGGACTTGGCAACCAGCAGGACTTGTGGTTCTTGACCGGGCATGTGACAGCCATCTGTGCCTTCAGGATATGCCTTTGCAGCACCCCAAGGATGCCTTGGAGTTGTAGGAGGTCAGAGAATCCTCAGAACTGGACATCTGAAGGCCCAGGAGCAGCAGACCGTTCCGGGAAAAGGTCGTGCAGGAGGGTCAGGAGCTCTGGCAGAGGCTTCATGATGTGCTGCAGCCTCCCTTGGTGCATCGCTCCGGGTTTCATTAGCAGCACTGCTCTTCCCTAGTGGGAACGTCACATCTCTGGATAGGAAGCAACTCCCGTAGGCTAAGAGGATTGCCCTCATTGTGAAAACACCAGCAGCAGGATTGGGGCTGGGTGGGGGGGTGAGTCAGTTTTATCATCTGGTGGAGATCATTTTTATATCACTTGTTTGCCTGATGTGAACTACTGACCTGGGGGGCTGGTTGACTCAACATGCCCTAAGAGCAGCCCAAATTGTCTGGGGATGAGAGGAGCTCAGCCTTGCAGGGAACCAGGCTGAGATTCTCCTGGTGGGTCACTAATTCAGGAGACCAAGGGACCAGTCTCTGAGGTGACCCTATGTCCTTCTGATGTGTGGATTCACACGTGCCCCCGAGTGGACTGCAGTGGATGAAGCACAGGCCCCGCAAGGACGAGAGACTCGAGGTTCTGGGCTCTAGCCCCTAATGTGGCAAGGGGGCTTCCCTTACCCCCAGAGAAGAAGCCGGGGGGACTGGAGTGGTTGTGGGGTGTATTAGTGAGGGGTGCGTGAATGGTGGATGAATGTGCTACCCTCTGCCCGGGTGGGAGACGGGAAGAGGATAGGAGTGGATGTGGCCAGCTGGTGAGAGGCCGGTTGAGAGAGGGAGCGTGTTCAGGAAGGGGGAGTTGGGGTGACTGAGCCCCTGTTGGCACTGAGAGCAGATAGCCGAAGTGCCACAGGGGCCCATTCCCCCCCCAATATTCCCCTCTCACCCTGTATGGCTGTGGTATGGCGGGCCCCTTAGGTCGGAGGCCAGGAGGGTCGGGGGAGGATCACCTTGGGAGGTTCAGGGCAGGTATTCAGGTGGTGACGGGCATGGGCCGTTATGACAGGAGCCAGAGGGCAGGCCGTTTCAGGGGAAGGCGCCCCCAATGCATTATACCAGTGGTGTGTTCTGGCCCTCGGGGCTCCAGCCCGGACCCTGGTCAGCAGGCCTGCAGAGGCCCGGGCTTTTGGCGGCTGCTGATGAATGCCAGGTCGGTCAGTAATAAGGCCCCCCTTATTCACGACCTTATTGGGGAGGAGCAGGCCAACCTGGCATGCACTACCAAGACCTGGCTGGCACCAGAAGGGGGTGTTGCCCTTTCAGAACTGTGTCCAGCCGGGTTTAGGGTTTGGCACCAGCTGAGACCCCAGGGCAGGGGAGGGGGCGTGGCAGTGGCCATCCGGGAATCTCTGCTGGCTCCGCTCCACAAGTGGCTGGATGTGAGACCCTGTTCCTGAGGTTGGGCACACGGGATCAGCTGGGAGCGTTGCTTCTGTGCCAGCCCCCCTGCGGCATAGCGACCTCCCTGCCTGAGCTGCTGGAGGCCATCGCGGGGGTGGCGGTGGAGTTCCCCAGGCTCATGGTCTTCTCGGGGGACTTTAATCTGCCGTCCCCGGGGCTGGCCTCAGAGGCGGCTCGGGAGTTCATGGCTACCATGGTGGCCATGGGCCTATCCCAGGTCATCTATGGCCCGACTCAGGACAGCGGTCACACTCCAGACATGGGTTTCTTGTCGGAGCAGTGGCAGCGTGATCCGGTGGGGTATCTGACATGATCCCCCGTCATGGTCAGACCACCCCCCCGGTGGCCGTGAGATTCTTCCACGCTGACCCCTCCGCTCCGTCCAGGGAGACGGGGCCTATTCAAATGGTCCACCCCCGGCGACTGATGGGCCCGCATGGGTTCCAAAGGGAGCTGGCGGTTGTTTCCGAGGCCCTTCTGCACGGCCCGGCAGAGGCCCCAGCCGCCGCCCGGCATAAGGAGGCGGCCCTGCCCCGGGCCGGGCCCCCCCCTCCCCGCCCCCCCTTGCCCCCCCGCCCCCGCCTCCCCCCTGGCTCACAGAGGGAGGCGAGAAGGGCCAAGCATCCCAAACCACAAACGAACAAGCTCCTTTTTTTAACCGTAATACTGCAAGTCAATAGATGTTTCACTTCCCGCATGGCTCACACCTCGCTGCCAGGTGGCTTAGCCAACCAATAGCTTGTGCTGTGCATTTTCTGTGTGTATTCTCCATTGTTTGGCTATGTGCCCTTTCCCTCATCCTTAGTGACAGAATCAGAGGACACAGAATGTCTGATATGCTTTGGGCTAATCGTCCTCTGGCCAGGGTGAGCCTTCCAAAAGATGGGGGGAGAAGCGGGAGTCCATAAGATCTGCCCCGTGAGCAGATGGCACGGCAGTCCTCCCTACTGCTTTGGTTCACAGCGGGAGGTCCCGGAGGAATCTCTCTGACCCTCCAAGTGCTGGACTTTCATTTATAAACTCTTATTAACTCTAATCATCCTGGCGTCTTCTCTCCACCTTTTCTGGTATCCAACCTGCAAATTCTAAGTTAGCCAGCAACAGTAGTGAAAAGCGACCCCCCAAAAGTGAGTACAAAAGCCATTGCAATGATGTAAATCAGTACTGGCAAAGGGTGTCGAAAGTGAAATAAAGCAACTGTACACGTGCCTGCTGGGTTCTGTGCCCCCCCCATCTCTGAATCAGGCCCATGTAGTTTGAAAATAAATATGTGCAATAACAGCCTCTTCAAAACACCTGGGGCTCTTGGAGTTCAAGAGGATGGCTTGGCAGGTCACCTTTGGTAGCATGCAAGCCTATTATTAATAAAAAAAACACGAAGGCAGGAAGCCAGCTGGGTGGCAGGAATCCTCCAGCATGTTGCAGAAAGTGCCAGGTACAACTCTTGGAGGCCCTCTGGGGAACGCGGCTCCCCACTCCTGGGGAAGAACTTCGAACCATCGCAAGGAAGAGGGCAACTAGGCGGGTGACCAACTCCATTTCTTGGCGGGGTTTTCGAGTGACCGATGCTGGAAACAATACAGCTCTTCTCAGCTGGAGGCTGCACTCACAACTCATCCCTTTTTGATTGTGAATGTCCTGACCGATGATCGGGAACAGCTAAAGACCTCAGATGGCATGACAGGCTGAAGTCCTTCATGATGCTATCTCAAGCCAGCATGGCTGTGGCAAAGACTGAGGTTGCCTGAGTCACCCACATTTTTCCTGTTCTCTCTTGTGGGAAAAATGTGGGGGACTTAATCTGAATCTCAATTTTTAGATGTTTTAATAAGCAAGCCTTGTAAATTTAAGAAAACAATTTAACGACGCATTATCAATTCAGCAAAAAGCAATCAGGTGCCTGGAATCCACATCCACACCTGAAGTAAGGAAGTGAAAGTATGACTGGCAGGAATGCAGGCAGCCGCTAAAGCTACTAGGCAGCTGGAATCAAGGTTTTCCACGTAATGCCGGAGTAAAAATAGTAGGTGGGCTGCAGGTTCTAAAGCCTTTATGCATGTAATGCTGTATTGCACCACCTCTGATTTTCAAATTGTGTATGAAATTAAATCAGTCAGCAAGCTAACCTCATCAATTACAGAGATAATGTCCTATTAAATGGCTGCTGATTAACTGTAACCAATAACATGGACGTGCTGATAAGCTGATGAAGAGGGCTTACCTCTCTCCAGACACTTTGCTTAAGTGTCTCGGAACTGTAACTGTCAACGAATTGTGTTTCAGTGTATTGGGTGCTGGTCTCACCCTTGGGAGGAAACCCCTTCCATCTCCCTCAGGCCTTCATCTTAAGGCTTTTCTGGGTCACTCGGCATGTGCAACTGCGCTCTCATCAGAAGCAACCGGCAAACGCACTTCTACCCTGCAGAGAGCTCTGCCCACCTGCCAGAATGGTGCCCAGTACTGGAGGCAGCCCTCTCTGCAGGTACTAACTGCCGGAGAGGGAGGCTCTGAGCACCTGTCCTGCCGCGAGCCTTCAGGGTGTCTACCATGCAAGAACATCGGTGCTGGACCGGAAAGGCCCCGGCCTGGTCCAGCTTCTAGGAGGGAGGAAGTGGGGAAGCAGCTCTACTGCTGCTAAGCCATCCTCTGCCTGACCCACACACACCCCTGAGTCGCACCTATAAAGGGCACCCCCGCCTGTGTCCTGGTGTCACAGAAGCCAGAGAGAACGTGACAGAGAATACAAACTTTATTTACCAGTGCTCTCCTATCTTGCCTCAGTATAAACAAAGCTGCCTTTCCAGGCTTTCATTGCCACTCGATGTGCAGGTCAAAGCCTTCTTTGCTGACTCTTCGGAGAAGCTCATCATAGTCCCTCCGGTAGATGTCTGGGCATTTGTCCAAATGGATGGAATCCAGCTGATTGTCCGCAGCCAACAGCAGGTGGATGGTGCTACTGGACACCTTGCACTGGAGCAGAGAAAGGTGACGGAGGTGCACCAGAGCAGTGCCCCGGGGCTCCAGCACTTTCTCGAACACTCCATCCAGACAAAAAGGCAGGTACAACAGCACTAAACTCTCCAGGCCTGGGGAGTTCTTGAGGACAGACGTAAGGTTTGCTCTCAGTCCTGGTGCAGGCTGGGAAGGTGTGGAAGTGTGCAGACTGGAGAGGCTCAAAGTAAATTCAGTGAGGTGGGAGAATCTGGGGGGCACAAAAGCAGCACCCCAGTCTGTGGACTTCTGGCTCTGGCAACTCAGAGAAAGGAAGATGCTGGCACTGAATTTCCGGAGATTTGGGCAGTGACCAAGCAACACGTGGAAGGATGATTCATCCTTGACAACGAAGCCATCAATGGAGAGGGATTGCATCTGGGTGCCGATGATGGCCGTCACAGACAGAAGCTCCCTGAGCTGCCTGGGTCTCCCACAGTCCAATGTCAGGTTGCTGAGGGCATGCCAGGAGGAGAAGGCGGGGCTCAATGCAGAACCGTCATCCAGAAGTACGGTTGCTTTTGTTAAGTGTGGGCACACAGTGCACACTATGGGCAAGGAAGACTCATCTACCTCCAGTAACTCCTTGAGGGGCAGCGTAAGCCTGGAGCTTGCCTTGTCTGTGCGCATGGCCATCCTGCGCTGTACCAGCTCCTCCAGTGAGGGAAACCCAGGGGCAATCTGGGCACCTTTGAACTGCTGGCGGAAGATCTCATACACAGCCTCAGAAACAAACTCATTTTCTAAGAATCTGAGGCTGGGAAGGGCCAGCAGAACAAAGGCCAAGGCCCGGACCAGATTCTGACTTCTAGCACTGGACTCCAGCCCACCAACCGAAAGTACCTGCAGTGCCTGGCAGGAGAAGGAGCCGGCTGTGACGTCATAAGCCAGGTGAAAGAGGGACTCTGGAGACAGCCGCTTGCAGTCAGAAACGTCCAGCTCACAAAGGTACTGGCAGGTGGAGCCTATGGCTGACAAGACCTGGGTGTTGCACTGGGTCTCTGACAAGCCAAGCTTTTTGAGACCAGGCAAACTTTCTATCAGGTCAACCAGAGCATCGCTAGGGATCCGGCTGCAGCCCTGGAGATACAGCAGGGACAGGTTCTGTCTCAGGGAGGAAAAAGAAAAGGTAAGCATGTGAGCAAGCGAACCCTGTTCTCTCAGTTCATACCTGGCTCATCACGTGGGACATCCCCTGCTTGACCGATCTGTTTTTTATAGCACCAGGCAGAGATTTTAATTCTCCTTGGACGTTTAATGCTTCCTATAACTGCTGCACCTGTTTCCTAATTAATTTTAATTTTGGTGCTGTTCGGTTGAAGAGTAACAGATTTTAAAATTGTGTGTCTTTTATCTCTTTAGCTAATTGTACTACTGTTTTAAATTTAAACCTGTAAATACTGGTTTCTAAATGCTTTTATGATACTAGCTGTACCCAGCTCTGGAAAAATTGTTTTGAAAGATAGCATGTAAAGCCTTAAATAAATCATCTGCCTACCTTGTATTTTGCCTTCAATGAATCCTTGCCCTGAAACCCTTTCTGTTTTTTTCAGTGGCCAGAGTTTGAACAAAGCTAAGGCAGGACAGAACTTTATGGTTCAACAAACTTGGGCTCCTAACTGGCCACAAAGAAATCAGACTATAACCACAATGCAGCCAAATCTAAAAAGAAAAGCTGCCCCCTGCCCCAGAAACAACCCTGAAGTGTCTTAAGTGACTGCCAGGGGCAGGAGAGCTTTTAGAGCTCCTGGCCTCATCCTACTTAGATCCAGCTGGCATCTGAGGTGAGAGTAGGCTGACTTGGGGTACCCCTCTTCCCCATTCCCTCCCAGATCAGGTTGTAATTCTTGGGTTCCAGGAGGCTGTATGTTGGTATTTCGTGTTTTAATCCTTGTATGGTGCCCAGAGTTACCAGTGTGAGATGGGCAGCCATATAAACCATATACATCAGTAAATAAATCTTTACTTTATTCTGAATCCTCTTGCTTGGATTGGCTCAATGATTATTAGACATTTTGAGTTCCTACTGCAGACAGAAACAAGGGAGAGCTGAATGCCTCACCAAAGCTGTTTGGCTAAAATGGTATATTTGTGCCATATTCCACGTCAGATTCACTTAGATGCCAGAACTGGAACGGAAGCATGACCAAAAAACAGACAGGCAGGGCGGGCGGGCAGGCAGGCAGGCAGGCAGACGGAAACAGTGCTTGCTCCGGTGAATTAGATGAGGCAGCCGAGCCAGAGGAGGAAGGCCGGCTCACTGCAAAGCTGCCCTGAAGACTCGGGCGCCGTAGCAATGGGAGCGCCCGGATCCCCCCGTCCTAATGCCACCCTGCCACCCACCTTGCAGCGGTGGGCGACCATCTCAGCGATGGTCTTGGAAACCAGCTTCGGGCACCGGCTGAGGTCCAGCTCCGTCAGCTGGGGCACCAGCAGCAGGTGCAGCACGAGCCGCGTCACCCGCCGGCCGGTCCCCATCAGGTCAATCAGCTCCCGAACGAGGCAGCCGGCTGGAGCCACGGAGAAGAAAGGCCGAGCGGTCAAGCGGGAGGCTCGGGGAGGGGAAGCGAGGAGCGCGGCGGCTTTCCTTCCCACCCCCG